TGGCTCCAATCCCCGGCTAGTAATAAAATTTCTGGTGTGCCAATACTCAGTTCCGAGACACTCCCTCGGCCTGTTCCTGAAGACTGTCCTTATCTAGAATACAGATAGTAAATGTAGCTAAATGTTCTTAGTGGGCGTTTGAAGTTGAAGTCACAAATAATGATCAATGAATCATGGAAAAAGTCTTGAGATTTTTAAAGTTCTTCATTCTCTCGAATTCTTGGCTTTCCAAAATCTATATCCCTTTTAACTGCCGTAAATTACACACTCTATCTTTAAAATACGATTATTATTCAATCAAAATATTTCCCCGATTCTGATTGGCTAAAAGCACACCCATAATTCATGATAACCAGCTACTGATGACCAAATTTGGAAGAATTTTGCGATTAATCAACCGATGACGACAAGAGTGCAGCTTCCTTATAGGTTTATGCCCCCTTAACCGAGAAGACCTGGGGACAAAGTTGAGTTGTTTTGCTTGTGAAAACAAAAATAGCGGACATTTCACTCGTTTCAGGAGTAAGAACTTAGCGAAATAATAGCTAACAACATGGCAAGAACAGCAAGAAGACAACTCTGCTATTAAAGAATATTTGCGGAGCTGAACCTAAACGTACACTATCGAAGATGAACTTAACATCGATGGAGGTGAGCATATTTTAGGTATGTTTTTGAACTAGGAAATATCTTATAATATCATGGCCCAGGAAATCATTCCGAGCTGCTATCTCTCGGATATAGATAAGTTACAGAAATTTTGACAAGTCGCCCTCCGTTTGATTCCAATTTTTGTCCCCTGCTTGATTTGTTAATGCCCTGTCCTATGATTCTTTTACGAAATGCGACTGTAAGGTAATGAAAAGGGAGTGGTCCAAAGAGGGGATGAGGTAGAGGGGACCACTAGGTTGTCGGTGGGCTGAAGCTGCCTTTCTCGTTTCTCCCCTCCAGTGGGTTAACCGCGCAACGTGAAATTAATTTAGAAAGAGGTGTTACTTGTTTTAAAGCCAGTTTATATTTGTTCTCACATACATTAATGGCCGAGATGTCCTTTTAAAAACCAAATACTAGCATAGTAGGGAAAATTTCCGTGATACTTTTTGATGGCACTGCTGAGGACACCAATCTGTCTAACGCCTATACAGTCTATTTAGAAAAAAGTTCATCAAGGTTCAATTTTCTAAGAGTCATGAATTTTCAGTCTCAACGAAAATTTTGGAAACTCAACCGTTTGTCACTAAAGATCCTAGAAGTGATTATTTTCTGATAGGTTTGACGATCACGGCAAACACCTTAGGTTGGTTATTGTTTGTTGCACGAATTGTGTGCGTCAGGGGGGAGAGTGCAGTAATAAACCATCTCCCCAGTCTTCACTCCAAATCAAACAGCTTTTTTCCTTCGAAAAAGGAAAATGCTATCGCCCTTATCATGTTGTCGGTTTTGAACGACGTTTCCTTACACCCCCTACACTAGTTTTCTTAGTAAAATCTTGTATACTTATTTAAACTTTAGTTAACACTTGCGCTTGCGATGAGCGAGCAACGAAGCAACTTGCATTACACCGCGTGTAAACCTGAATATACTTTACACTGAACATTAAATGCTTGTTTTGGAATTGAAAACTAAATTAAAGTGATTGGTTTAACGTAAGGCTTACCTTCGACAACAGTCTTTTTTCAGCGTTCATCGAGCCTGTAGATGTACTAAAGTTTATAATTCGGCGCCATGTTCCGAGGTTCATTCAAACTCATTTTGCATAAATTACAGCGAGCCTCGCGATCCGTTGATGAATATTCAAAAACTGCACGCTTCTTCGGTTAGCCCGTGCTGAACTGAGAGCAAACACTTTTTGCTTGCACGCCTTTGATTTTAATATATTTTGGAACTTGAAAGAGAAAACATAAAAAAAGAAATGAAAAATTTGCTTCGCGGCTATTCTGCTCCGAAGCACTTGTAATTGGTAATATAGTTCATGATTTGATATTCGATTCCCTGAGATAAATCAAAGACTTGACTAAAATTGGGCTGAAAAAAAAAAAAAAACAGTAAAATATAAAATATGTTACAGGGGAAGATTTGGGATAATTAATTATGAACTGCGAAGATTTTTGCCTTGACCATCCTGGGAAGGAGCTAGCCTGGTAACCAGGAATAATGCTCCTTTTTTCAAAAAATGACACATCTTTACACAAATTATAGCTGAGGTAACTTATGAAAAATTGTGAGAACGTGTAGGCAAACTAGAAAAAAGATCTTTCTAATTTCAATTTTTCCTGGTAAATTCAGTTAGGACCAAAAAAAACAAAACACCATTTGATCTAATTTTTACATGCCTAAATAATATTTTTAAACAACGTTCCATCGACAGCTGAAGTTTTTTGTTTCTTTCTTTCTTTTATTATGCCGGAAATCAACAAGAAAGTTAGAGCATAGAATAGTCGCCATTTCTTTTGACAGTTTCTATTACGAGCATAGAGAGCTGCGAAAAATTCGACTGTTAGGAAACTAAAAAAGTGAACATTAAAAACGTTATATAAATATATACCGGCTTAGGAAAAACAAACTGAACCATTTAGTAGCTCGCAGGTATGCATGTTCGAATTTATTTATTAATAAATCAGAGAGACAAGCCAAATAAATTATATAATTAGTCGACTTCATAGATTTCCTTCCTCGCCTTCAAAAGTTACCGAGAGAACCAATTTTGTTTTCCTTATAATTAACACTTTTGATAAAGCATACAAGGAAAATTTCCGCCCATGTTTCTGCAGAAAAAAAATATGCAAATCTTAGGCTTATTTTGACCAATTTATCTGCAGTACGTATATTCATTTTTCTTCCCACGATCAGCACAATTTGTTGTTTAGATAAAGCGACTTTCATGCAGAGAAATTCAAAATGAAAAACGTTGGTTTTACAGACAGTAACTGAGCAAAATAGAATAGATTACTAATAGTGATAACCATAGGGAAAGTTCTAAAATCAATTACAACTTTATTTATGTTAGATCATTTTCATATTTGGACTGAATAGTTAGTAGTATGAGTCAATATTATATTATACGTATATTTATTTTTCCGTAGATCGAGATCGAGAATAGACTACAAGCAGTCTCTCTTTTTTTCTTGGTCCGTCGAGAAAAACGCGCGAGACGACACGCAAATGACCACGCGCGTTTTGACACTCATCCAAGATGCCTGCCCTTAACGCAAAGTGCACGATCTCGACGATCTTACGGGTAAATTGTTTTTAAGAAATGATCCCCTCCCCAATAAATTTTAAAGATATTGGGAAATTGACCACCCATCCTATTTCTGTGGAAACTACGAATATTCTTGTTAAAAGTCATGCCGAAACTCATCACATACTTCATCTACAGTCGTGTTTGTAACAGTTGTAACAGTTGTAAGATCTGTGTTTACAATTTACGGCTGTTACATTCAATTTCAATTCACGCTCGTTACTGCTATGTACTACTTTCATGAAAAATGAACCCCCATGTAACACTCTCTTACCTGAAAATGACCCTCCAAAACCAATCAAAGATGTTGAAAATGACCCCCAGCAAAATTGATGGCGCTCCCTCATAGGTAATAAACTGCCAAACCCCTTTGTGAAGTTTTTTTTTTCAGCAAGCACAGTGATGCCGTATTACACATGAATTAGCGACTGGCCATTATTTATCGCCTGGAGTGGATGGGGGAGAGGCGAAGGATTTGGGGCTAAACAAGGTGAAATTTAGCCGATCCCCCATTTGAATGTTTCTTCAATGAAGTGGTCCCCCTTAATAACATTTGATGACTTTCGCGATCCCCCCCCATGTCTTCATTTTCCAAGCAAATTTAAGTGGTCCCCCCCCCCTCTATATCCTTCCAAAGTTTTCAGTGATCCCCCCTTTTGGGTTACGACTGATTCCCCCTTTTGTTCTCCTAAAAATCAAGTGATCCCCTCAAAATCCTCCTCCCCCCAGGCGATAAATAATGACCGATCCCTTACGTCATTCGATCAAGTCAGTGCTGAAACGAGCTAATTCAGAAAGTCGACATTTCGTCAAACATACAGGGACATTCAACACTCTAAATTTCCGTCGAACTTTTGTCGGAACATAAACCCAGTCTGAAATTTTCTCTTCGATGATATTCAATGACTGGGAATATTCATGATCAGAGCACTAATATTAAAATTAAGAAATTGCAAGTTCGCCTATTTTACAAAGTGAAAGGACAAGAAACTTTTCAGTAGCTCTCAGGAGATAGAGAACTGCAAAGACGTCTGTTCACGCAAATCTCCTCAGTTTCCTAATAGAGAGTAGAGAAGTCTCTAAGTTTCACATTTCTCAACTTTTGTAAAACTCTGTGCACTGAGTGGTGGAAATTCCACAATGTTCTCGTTTGAGACTTCCCCTTTGGGTAACGAATTGCCCTCTACAAACACTTCCTCCGAAAAATCTAGTCGAATTCCACGGTTTCCTGGTTTACAGGTTGTTCTTTAGTATCTGAGGTTATCCATGTTGCGTAATCGGCACACTCAGCAGTTGCACTTTCTGCAATTTTCTCGTGTGATGAGTCGTCTGTGGCACTTGAATTAACGTCTGCGAAAACTTTTCTTGCATTGTCCTCATTCAGGGGCACCCAGCGACAATTTTCGGAAAATATCTGTTCGGAAGACGATTTGAGATGTAGAATTTTCGGAACATTTGTTGTAAAATTTCTTGCTTGCCTGCCTCTCCTAGGATTTTCGAACATCTAAAAAAATGGTATAATTGCCTACTTTTAACGAATTTTTACCCTAAAAAGGTCACCTATAATTTTCGGGAGCCTTTCTTCTGGCTCTAATTTTCGAAAAGGTAAGTTTTGATCCCTATAATTTTTGGATCACTAGACTTTCAGCTAGGACTGAATCCGAACAGATGAAAAATTTTTAGGGGATAAAAATACGCCTATATCTACCGTTTAAATACTAAAATACGTTTAACAATGCTATGTTTAAGTGGTTTCGATCTATATTCTCGTTGGGTGCCCCTGCTCAATAGCCGCAGGACTATCCATTACTATGGGGTTTGATAAATGGCTCATAGGATCTGTTTTAGACATCGTCACAACGGCGTTTCCATTGTTGTCTTCTACCATAGCCACTGGAATTTTTATCGTTTTCTGGTTTGATGGATTGTCAGGGGATCTGAGTAAATCATTACATTCCCCCTTGGAACCGTTCTCATTAGGTGTTGTGAGATTTTCTTCATTTTCCTGTTTCGATGATCGGTCGTTAGGTTCTGGATGTACCTCCATATTTATTTTATTTTGTGTGTAATCCTCTCTGCACTTTGGACGTTCTTTTCCGGAGCTTGTCCCTGCAGAGTCAGCGGGATGGTTATCAAGCCACGCTAACTGTGAGTTGATCGGACGTTGGGCATCCTGTGATGAGGAGGGCATGATCTGATTACGCGGACACCGTCCTCTTTCTTTTCTGTTTTCCTCCCTTCTACAGCCTCGTCCTTTTTGACCAAGTTGACGTGTGCAGCTGTTGGATGAGCAAGCTGAAGGATCCTGCCTAAACTGGCCAAGTTCAATCGCAATTTCTTTGCCCTCTTCAGCCACGCTCGCATTCTGGTGTGGAACATCCTTTTTGACTCGTTGTTCTTGTTTTTTTTCTCGGAAAGCCGTTTTTCCACAGGGATCTTGTAGAAGCTGTTTCAGGGCACAGCGAAACCTTCTGGCGCGGAAACTATAGATAACAGGGTTGATCCCGCTAGACAAGAAGTTTGAAAAGTAGGCTAGGTGGCCACGCCAATCCATAGTGGTATCATCGGGCTCGGGAGGAGCCAAGATTGCAAAGCAGACGGGCGAAATGTAGCACCCTAGGAATGCGAGGACAGTAATGATGACAGTTTTGGCAGCCTGGGCATCACATTGAAGTCTGGCCTCAGCTTGGAGTCGAGGTAGATTTAAACGCTTTCTCTATGAAAGAACGCCATAGATAATCAGGCTAAAACTTGAATTCATGCAACATAATTCTACGCGTGGTGGAAAGGAAGCCTTATAAGAGTATTTTCAGTTTCCTTGAAGATTTATAAGCAGCCGAGAATCATAATATCTTTTCCTTAGTTGTGAATGGAGGAAATATATACTAGAAATGGAAATATTGAGATGCTGCAATGATCACCTATGTAAGAATTAATGAACGCAATTAAGCCGTGAACGTTGCTACGCTTGCCCGTTTATGTGTGAGCGTCAATCATAGGTCATGGGAAGGAAAGACTTCGAGACTGTACAAATTCTAGGCAGCCCGCCATCCTGTTAAAAGGGTTACACAGGAAAACCTGGTGATTGAAAAAGGAAAAAAAGAATACTGACATTTGTGATCTCACCTGCCGTTTCTTTCTTTGAATTGAGGAGAAAACCAGGACGCCGAATGTTATCGCAGAGAAAATGAAAACTGCGATGATCACCGCAAAGACCTTTTGGGATTTATTTAACATGGAACGACGATATCTGACAACAGAGGCATCTTGGAGGTCGATATCAGAATCAAACCACGACAACAAAGCAATTGCGATGACACAGACCACCCATTCTACAAGGACTATTTTCACTGCTTTTTCATTCGTCTTCCATGTGTAATATTTTAGGTCCAGTTCTATCGCTAGAAACACATTTACGAGCAGCACCACCATGGAGACGATGTTGAGAATGATAAAGAGGCGTGACAGAAGCAGTGAAATAGTTGCCACAGCCTTTCCTGTAAACCATTCTACGTTCAGGACAGCCCAAAGCAGGTAAATAGGTATGTTGATGAGCGCGTTGAAAAAATCGATCAAAGCTAGATTGGCTATCAGAATGTTTGGAAAGGTGCGAAATGTCTTAAACCGAGCAACAATACCTAGAACGAAGCCATTACCAAGAACTGCAAGGACAGCAACGATTGAAAGAAGTACAAGGATGAAGATAGCCAGGGACGACAAGTCGACATCCATGACTGTCTGCCAGCGTCAGGCGTCAACGACCTTAGTTTCTAGGCAGTAAGGGTGTTTAGCTTTTTTAAACAAAATTGAAGTTCCATCTGTAGCTGACACGTGATGCGATTGCACGTTTTGTGCGAAGTTTCTGACGTATTTCCTATTGCTTTAATAAAGAACAGATATATACAATAAGATTTTCAAAATTAAAGTTTTTCCTTTTTATGAATGTTAAAAGAAAAGATAGATGTTAACCCCATACGCGAATACAGCGTCGAGGAACGAGGAGAGCCGGCTGTATAAAAATTTATTTTCAAGTACTTTAATCTCCTTTCGATGTACATAAATATCTGTATTTATTACATCCACTTTGAAATCACTGGCTAACCGTGCAATCTGATTGGCTCTCAGCAGTGTGATTTATTCCTAAATCGCACCATTTTTTGCTCTAAATCGCATCTATTCCAAATCGCGTCATTCATGTTCTAAATCGCATCATTTCTGTTTTAAATCGCACCATTTTTGTTCTATATCGCATCATTTCTGTTTCGAATACAAAATGAGATGTAAAAGCCTTTTTGTTTCGGCTTTTTAACAAACCGGCTACTCGATCAATAAAATATTAATACTGACTAAATTCTGCGATTTCAAAGTGGATGTAATAAAGTGTTAATTGAACTTCGTGTCGTGCAATTTTGGTCTGAAATCATACTTGTGATTTCAAATCGAACTCGCGCTGCGCGCTCGTTCGATTTTGAAATCACGCGTATGATTTCAGACCAAATTGCACTCCACTCAGTTCAATTACCATTATGTATCGCTAAATAAATCTTGAAAACAAAAGGGAATAAATCAATGCTTGCGGATTTATTTTGCGTGCGCTTCGTTTCCTCTTTGTCTCTTGTTAAGAGACATTTTAATGAAGCGAACACTGTGCCTTTTCCCCATCTTGTTGCGATTATAAAGATACTTGAGCATTGTAATGTGTAAAGATTTCCAGTCGAATTTCTTCTCCAGTACTCAGCATAATTCTAGCGACGCTAAACATTTCGAAATTTGCTTGGTTCATAATAACCAACAATAGGTGCGGTTACACGGGACGCTTTTACCGTGGTAAATGACCCCTTTACCGCGGGAAATTTACGTGGTGTGTGTGACCAAACTTTCCCGAGATAAATTTACCATGGGAAATATCCATAGTTACGTCAAAAAGAAGAAAGAAACCGCCCATAACATTAAACGTGGTAAATTGCTAGGGGTTTTCGATACCCAAGGCCAAAGTAGCCTGCGAAAACAGCTGTTTCCCCTCGCTCTTCGTCGCTGAGAACGTTTCACGGCGAAGAGCGAGGAGAAACGGCATTTTTTTCCGGGCTTAGGCCAAAGAGCCAATGAGGTTTCTTCATTTGACTCCAACATAAAACTGCATAAAAACTACTTTTTCAACGGGTTTCCTTTGCGCTGTTGAGATAAAGATCGATGTTGACATGGCAGATTTCACTTTAAGATGAAAGTAACAGGGAAATTTTGACGCAAAATTTGGAACTCTTTTGTTGGGCTAGATTTGGAAACGATATTTCCCAAAAATATGTTTTATTCCTGGCATGTAATAGCCTGCTACACAGCCGTTTTTAGTCACTAAAAACGCCCGTGTAGCAGACTAGGCTTGCAAGCGAACAGTGAGATGCAGCTGAACAGCAGCTGAACAGCAGAATAAGCACGATTATCCAAGCATTGCACTGGAAATAAAAACAGCAACAATCCGGAGACGATATTAATAAGGAGACAGAGGCGCGACAAAAGTAGAAAAATAATCGCCAAAGCCTTTCCAGTAAATCATTCGACATTCAGTACACCCCAAATACGTAGAATAAACTGATCAACACCGTTTAAAGTATTCTTCATCTGAAGTCGGAAAGTCTGGTGATCACTCGTTTTGGTCGACATTTTCCACTGTCTAACCAAACAAATGACGCTGTCAATTATTTTGATGAAAAATGTTTCAGGAGATTAAACATAAGCACGGTTATCTTCTCTTGGCACCAGTTTATGATCACGGTTTAAGGGTCTCAGCCTGTATCACACAATCTGCCTCGGATGGTGGGTGTTCCACAATATTCCCGTTTGAAGCTACGCCCTTGGGTAATAAATTGTCCTCTACAAAGACTTCCTCTGAGAAATCTAGTTGAATTTCCACGTTTTCCTGGTTTATTGGTTGTGCTTTAGGACCTTTAGTATCTGAGGAGATCCGTGTTGCGTAATCGGCAGAGGCAGTTGGACTTTCTGCAATTTTCTCCTGTGATGGGTCGTCTGTTGAACTTAAATTAACGTCCGCGACAACTTCTCTTGCATTGTCCTCATTAGCCGCAGGACTCTCCATAATTATGGTGTTTGATAAATGGCTCATAGGATCTGTTTCAGACAACACAGACATTTCCACAATTGCGTGTCCATGGTAATCTACAATAACCATTAGGCTTTTTATCATTTTATGATTTGATTGACCGTCCCTGGAATCAGACTGAACCATTGCAAAACCTTCTTCCCCTTTGGAACTGTTCTCATTAGGTGTTGTGAGGTTTTCTTCATTTTTCTGTTTCGCTGATCGATCTTTAGGTTCTGGATGTACCTCCACAATTATTTTATTTTGTGTATAATCCTCTCTGCACGTCGGATTTTCTTCATCGGAGCGTATCCCGGAAGAGTCTGCGGGGTGGTTATCAACCCATGCTAACCGTGGGATGATCTGAGGTTGTACATCTTGTGGAGAGAAGCGCGTGACCTGATTGAAAGAGCGCGCTCTTCTCTCTTTACGTTTCTTTCTACTGTTTTCCACCTTCTTACAGCCTCGTTCTCCGAGACCCAGTTGACGTGTGTAGCTCTTGGATGGGAAAGCTGATGGATCTTGCAGTGGCTCGCCAAGTTCATTCGCAATTTTTTTGCCTTTTTCAGCTACTCTTGCATTCTGAGGTGGAACATTCTGTTGGACTCTTTTCTCTTGGTCTGTTTCTCGGAAAGCGGTTTTTCCACAGGGATCTTGAAAAAGCTGTTTCAGTGCTTGGCGAAACCTTCTGGCTCGGAAACAGTAGATAAAAGGATTGGTCCCGCTGGGAAGGAATAAGCTAAGCTGGGCCACATGATCAGGCCAACTGGCAGCGGTGGCATCGGGTTCGGGAGGAACCAAAATTGCAATGCAGACAGGGGGGATATAACATACAAAGAATGCCAGTATTGTAAAGGCAACAGTCTTGGCAGCCTGGATATCCAGTTGAAGTCTGGCCTCTGCCTGGAGTCGAGGCAAGATTAAGCTGCTTTCTCTATAAATACAACGAGATAGATAATTTATCATTGGTTGATTGCAATGCATTTTAAGGAATGTTGAAATATGGACCACATTATTTTATTTTGTTTATTTTAAATTCTTAAATTTAACTAAATCCCGCTCTACTTAGCCTGCGTTGCAGCGGACCCACGCATCCGGCCATTGGTATAGTTAATAGCCCATAACCCAGAGCGAGCAACTCCCATACTAGGCCCGTATGTTATGGCGTTTTCGCGGACCACTTTACTTTTAGACACATTTTAGAGCACTTTTTCCCGCGAAAACAGACTCTCCACCATGTTTATGAGCGCATTCGAAGTATAAGATATCAAAAAGGAAAACAAAATCATTTTAGGTCTGTATGTTTTGCTGACTGGTTAGTAGAATTTAAAAGATATTCAAAATTCGGGACAAAACCTTTCTAAAAATAAACTGATCCCTGAAAACGCCGTGACATGGGCGCATGGAAGTTGTTCACTCCAGGTTATGGGCTCTTGGTATAGTCCTATACAGGCGATTTAGTTTTGTCTGCCACGCGGGCTAGCTTGACTGACCGGTATTTAACCAGCGTATATGTGCTGCTTATTCTTTGCATTTTCTCAAGAGGTGTGGCAAAAATACGTACGTCGTTAATCAAAACAAATAATATCTCCTTGACATAATCTTTTACCAAGAAATACTAGACAAGCCTTTCCAAAACCAATGGGGCACTTTTAAAGCTATTTACTTAGACAAGTTTAGCTTAGTCTTCCATTTAACAGCAAAAAGGAAGATTAGAGGTAGAGCGGTTATTTAGCTCTTAAGCGATCAAGGCAACACAAAGAATTTTCCAGCAATGTAAAAGGAAGAAAACCCGCCGGCTGGGTATTCAGGTTACTTAGTAGCCAATGACTGCCTTTGCTTTGGTGGATTGAAAACAAAACTGTTAAGCCGACTTCCATGCAATTCTTTATGGTTGGCAACATTGTACGAATATTTGATTGTAGTCAGTGCAAATATATCTGTTATTCCATATACAGAGATGCTCGTCGAATCTAACTTTTTTTAAAGCGATGTGTGTGCAAGTCTGCCCTTAGTAGATTTTTAATGATGGTCACGATCGATTGTATTTTTAACTGAGATTCATTTGAGATTCAAAACAGTTATTTTTGAAACACTAGTGTATATCTATAGGGAAAAGAAACAGGATATTGAAAAGAAGAGTTGCTGTTGTTTGCGGCTACATCATCGAAATAAAAAAAATTGAGGTGTTTACTTCCATCAAAGTGATCAACGCTTTCAAGCGTTGATCTTTATGGCTCCTTGCGTTATCTGATAATTTACGAACCGACGAGTTACGGAAAAGCTAGACACTTTTACATTAATATTTCTAAAGCTTTCTTCAAAAAACATGGCGTTTTGAAAATTTTATGTTGTGCCGGCAATTCTCATCCCCAGATTGTCACATTTTCCGCTAAGAACGCCTGTTACCATGACTACCCTTTTGGCTTGCATTTTAAAGACTCTTCCTCTTACGGAAGCTCGAGCAAAAGTAACCTGAGATCAGGCTCAAATTTCGTTTCGCTCTGTAAATAACATTCCGGTGGGCAAGGCGAAACGAAAAGAGAATTTTTAGTGGTAAGTCGTTAGAGAGACTGTATGAGAACCGCTAAAATTGGTCCTGATCTCAGGTTAGAGTAAAAGGGGGTCATAGGTTAATTCACCTGAGACTTTGCAAGCGTTGGAAGAGCCTTGTTTGACTGCTTTATCAAATTCGAGCCTAAGACTAATAAAGAAGCCTTACTGAATAGTCCTAGCCCTCAAGCCCAATCAGAAAAATTGTTCCTGATCCGTTACAAAAATCTTGAATCACTTTTAGAGTCTGTTAGCAGGTCTTAGCATGTTGCTGCAATCAGAACGGGTAAATACAAGACTTAAATGTCTCTGCTTTGTTATTAAATTGGTAGACTGTTCACAGTCCTCCATTTTTCCGTAAGATCGTCGACATCGAGCGCTTTGCGTTACGGGGTGCCATCTTGCATGAGTGTCAAAATTACTTAGGCGGCGGGGGAGGGGGGGGTTTGGGAGGAAGCGAGAAAAATTTTCTCGCCCCCCTCCCCCTACAGATATAATCCCCGACGGCCTCCCCCCCTTCGGTACATTTGAAAATCAAGATGGCCTCCATTAACGGTAAGACGCGCTACGAAAAAATAGGGGACTGTGAACAGTCTATTAAATTGGGTACTTTAAAATAGTCGATGACTTTCAAAGAGGGCTGCTCTCAATTCCAGCAAAAATGCTGAAAACTGAACCCAAAATTTCGTTTGACCACTCAACAGGGCCACCCAACGACTGTTTTCTGTGAAATATCTGTTCGGAGAAGCAAATATTGCCTAGAATGTTCTATTACTTGAGAACGGCTAAAAATTTCGAGAGGACCGTTCTATTCATGTACAATTTTTGAAGCTTATCTTAAATTCACTACGATTTTCTGAAGTTTAATTTTTCACATTTCACTGTCCAGATTAGGCTATTTTTCGTTCTAAAAAGGAAACCTAAAATTTTCGGATTCAAAAATGTGTTAGAGAGAGGAATTTTTTCTCTCACTTTCGTAATACGTTAAATTGCATCCAAAAATTTCGGAAAAATAATACTGAAGCCCATGTAATTTTGGGATGACCAAACAGATACAAATTTTATAGCGCCACTTAGAATGCATTACTAGAGATCTAAAAGTACTATGGATAGCCTAAAAAGTTTTTTCTATGTAGTTAGGAGGAAACCGTCGTTGGGTGCCCCCGACTCAATAGTTTAGTTTGTAGCAAAAAAAGTATTTGTACTATGTGTTTTGACTAAGAATAACTTTCGAATCGAAAGACTTTTGTTTGGCTAAATATAGGACTAGAGCTTGCTTGGTAAAGACCCTTCCCTGACTCACCTTCCGAAACTTCCTTTTAATTGAGCAGAAGGCAAGGACACCAAATACCACTGCAGTGACAACGAACGTTGCGCCAATGGCTGAGGAAATAAATTTGGCTTCCGTAACAAAGGAACGACGATATTTGAAAACAGAAGCATCTTGAAGATCAATATCAGAGATGGACCACGATAACAAACCAGTGCAGGTAAGACAGACCAACCACACAGCTAGGTCTATTGCTAAGGCTTTTTTATTCGTCTTCCATGTGAAATATCTCAGGTCCAGCGCTATCGCTAGAAACACATTTACCAGCAGCACCAACATGCAGACAACGTTGACCAGGATAAACAAGTGGGACAGAAACAGCGAAATAATCGCTGAAGTCTTTCCACTAAACCATTTGACATTCAGTACGCCCCAGAGCACGTAGATAGGTATGTTGACTAGCGCGTTCATAAGGTCGGCCAACGCCAGATTAGCAATTAGAATGTTTGGAAAGGTGCGAAGCTTCTCAAACCGGGCAACGACACCAAGAACGAACCCATTGCCAAGAACTGCGAAGACAGCAATTAGTGACAGAAGCACAAGGATGAATATTGTCAGGGTTGAGAAACCTTCGGCTTCCATGAGTGTTTGCCTGCGACGGCGTGAAGATCTTAGTGTCAAGGCAGCGCAGATGTTATCTTTTTTTTTTTAAATGAAGTTCCATCTGCAGCTGACACGTGATGTGATTGAGCGTTTTTTGCAAAGTTTCAGACTTGTTTCTTATTTCTTGAATACAAAACAGATATTTGAAATAAGATTTTCAAAATAATTTTTTTCCTTTTTTGAATGTTAAAAGAAAAGACAGATGTTAGCCTCGCATGCGAACACAACGGAGAGGAACGAAGAGAGACTGCTGTATTACAATGTCTTTTAATTACTTTAATCTCCGTTCGATGTACATAGTAAGCGTCGCTACATTCATTTGTTGTTGAAAAAATATGGAAATGAATCAATGAGCTCGGGTTTGTTTTCCTACGTCACATTGTCTACTTTTTCTCTTGTTGGGATACATTCTAATGAAGCGAATAGTGAGCCTTTTCCCCAGCTTGTTGCAATTATAAAAACGGTATTCTAGTATTGCAATGTGTAAAGTTTCCCAGTCGTATTTCAGTCTTCTCTAATACTAACCACAATTCTAGCGACACTAATATTTCGAAACTCGCTTAGTTCATAATAACCAACAATATGGGACCGAGCCTGCCTAGTTCCTAGGCCAGATTATTCCGCGCGGCTTATCCGTACAATATTTTCAACAATATTTCGGCTGGTCATACCAGACTTCTTCAGGTTTACAGATGTTACTGAATTTATTTAGTAACCACAATATTATATATATGGAGAATTTCGCAAGTTAAAAAGCTCATGTTTCAGCCCCAAGTGTCAATTCAGCCCTTCAGGCCAAAGTCTGATTCAGCCCTTCCTGGAGCCATTTGAGAACAATTTAAGCCAAAAAAGCTCAATCAAAAGGCTATTTTAGCCCGCGCTAGGGTCCATTTCAGTCCTGGGACCAAATCAGCCCTAGCTAATTGGACTGTATTGGCCTAGATTTAAGGGAGCCAATTAGACTCAAAAACAGGACTGTATTTTACTCACCGAAACGGCCCTATTTTGGGAGCTTAAACGGATCTTTCTGATTTACAGTGTATTTTTAGAACGAATTTAGCGCTAATTTAGAATATCTTTCAGGTTCCACAAACCAGTCTGCAAAACCAAACCTCCTGAGAATGGCATTTTTGACTTTTTAATGACGTTCAGTATTCCTTTGTCGCATCTTATGTTTATAATGCTTTCATGAACGGAGCAGACCTTCCATTTTCACGAGACAAAATGCTCTAAAATGTATCTAATAAATAACTCTCCGTGAAAACGCCGAGAGATAAAGTGTGGCACGAAATTTTTGCAGGTTTTGTCAAGGTTGTCAGGAAAATTCGCCTAGGACTATCGCGCTCGGTTCCAAGCCTCCTCTTGTAACTCGGATGGCGTGAACTGGCCTGGGTACGAGCCTGGGTACGAACAACTGAGTGGGAATTACGCCGAAATTTTTACTTAACTCGTGATAGCTTGTATGGCAGGTGTCAGAGGGATTCAAAAAGGCTTTTACAATAACTGAACGATTTCTCGCCCGCTGATTGGTGGAGAGCTATGTTCAATAAGGGTACAGATCATGGAAATGACGTGATGATGGCGC